GGCAACAAGGTTCAATAACAATGTCGCAGTTGTTTTATTTTTTCGCTAGTTACAAAAGTAATGGGAACACAGAACATGCAGACGGAGTAGCTAAGTGGGGATGATGGACCAATTAACTCGCGTTCAGACAGAGCTGACAGGGGGTGATGCAGGACTCCACTTAGTTCAAGGTCATAACCACACAAAAAGCCTTAAATAGCCAAATTACATAATTATCATTTATCTTTCTTTGCTGACTAAAGTAGTTTCCTCAAAAGCTGTTAGGAAATGTTCTGAGGCCTAGTTCCGGTTCATGGAACCACAGTGTTAAAGCACTGTGAATCCCATAGATATTGATTTGCCAAAACACTTAGCATATATTGGCATCAATATATTCAGAAAATGGCTGCATATGAAACTTGGATCTAATATTCTGTCCATTCACCCAAACAGATAGAACTGCCAATAAACACTTCCTTTACACATGGCTTTTCTTTTTGCCAGACAATGCATCCATTGCTCTGTATTTTGAACCTAAACTGAACCTCTTTGGAACTTTTGTGGTATTTTAATGTGGATTCTGGATGTAAGTATTAGCTCATAACAGTTTCTGACCAAAAGTCATTGGCACTGCACCACAAACACCCATATCATTCAACACCGCTCTAAACTGAACTGCATTTAATCATAGCAAAAATTTCAGTGTAACCATAAAGAGCAGCTTATGCTTTTGTAAGTACATTCAATGGAACTTTTGTAATATGTATATCAAAAAACAACTAACTTTATTACTGGTACAAAATATTCATACCAACAACCATGACCATGAAAATACTAAGGGTGTATATCAGAGACAAATCTCAGTTTAGCTGTTCTCTTAACATGTCACAAGTGATTCAACTTGTAATGGAACGGTTTACATTTCTTGATCTATTATCTCTTTTCTTGGTAAACTCCTCTGACGCGTAATAAGTGACACCATGGAAATAAGCATTCAGCAACAAAGATGGAGACAAAATAAAAATATCCTACCACTTAAAAAAACTGCATGTTGTGAAATGACATGATGCGCGACATTAAAAGTGTCATTGTTCCTCAGTTGGAGATGCTCTCAGCTGAGATACACCATGTCGTGTTGAGCAGTCGTCCACTCTCCATATGGCTTCAATGGAATTTATGTTGGGCAGGCACCAATAAGCCAAATCTAGTTAGCAACATTATATCATTGGAGCCAAATCTAATTTCAGCCCCAGTATGTTTTAGTCGTCAGTGACTCTCTCCCTCTTTCTCTCTCTCCCCCTCCTCCTCCTCTTCATCGTCTGTTCTCCCTCTCCCTCTGTCCATCCGTCCATCTCTCTATGTGAGTGTCACCTGCCCTCCGAGCTGGCGACGCCGGGTCTCGGCCTTAGCGTGAGAGCCCCATTACCCTGACTGGAGGCTTTGTTTTCCCTGTGAATCTGCGAGAGAGTGTCTCTCTGTGTGTGCGTTTGTGTGTGTGTGTGTGTGTGTGCTGGAGGAGAATGTCAGAGAGATGGTGATTTGTTACATCAGCGAGCATTCCAGCTCTGAGACCCTCTGAGTGTGTGAGTAGACACATAGAGAGGGGGGAAAAAAATCTTGTTTCTGGCTGTGTTTCCATCCAGATCTATTTTTGTAAATTATCATACAGCAAATAGTTTTTGTAGATGAAAAAAAACCCCTGTGATAAATAGCAGCGGAGTTGCATAAATAATGACATAGACGCAGTTGAAATGGATTGTATATGATAGTTTGAAAGGTTTGCAGAGAATTCACATAACAGTTGCATGGAAACATATGACAGAGAAATAGACGAGGGCAATGTGTGTATAGGTGAGGTAAGAGAGTGTGTGTGCATGCATGTGTGTGTTTGCAATCAGGTTCAAGGTCTATGTTAGAAGCTCCACTGTGTTGTCAGTGTCTAAGCACTGAGGCCACAGCTCCCAGCAAATGGAGACACTGAGCAAGATACCATCTGCCTCTGCCCATCTAAGTCTCACGCCAAGACACACACACGCACGCACGCGCACACACACCACCCACCCAGACATATTCAGAGAGCCTTTAAACACACCATATCCAGCTCAGTTCACAACGGAAACACTTTAAGTGCACATATAAACATGGAAATCCCTGCAACTGCAAGTAACTAATTGAATACTACAACTCTGGCAAAAAATGATGTCTCTCATTTTAACCCACAGGGCAGTGGATCATATGTGGATGAGGTGACATGTCCACTGTTGCCTTTTTTCGACAGAAAGACCCAGGAAATTGGATCCTAACATTATTTGTATGTCCGGTGTATGAATACCACAATGAATAAAAAAAATGCATGAAATGCCTGGTGCTCAACAGACCTGTGTGCTTCTTTTAATCATCTATAGCTTGAGGTCTGGGGAGTGAAGGTGGATGGGGCTCTCATGTACACAAAGCACAAGGATATGAGATCTTGTGCAACACTCTGTTGCATTCAGATTTCATCTTGCATTTAACAAAAAGTTCATCTGTCTGCTGTAAATGCAGACTTGTGACAGTGACTCGAATGTCAAAATGAACTGAAATGTCGCATCAACCATGGGACATTGAAAGCTGGGATGACGTTCATGTACCCTTGATTCATGTGGAATTTGATCAAAATGTCTCATTAGAAATACTAAACGCAAAGGATCAGTTCACCTGACTAACAACAACAACAAAAAATTCTCACTTACTGTGCCTCTAGTAGTATCTAGCCATGCAGACAGCTTGACAGATTGCTTTGTCCAGGATTTGAGATATTTGTATCTGAAATTTCTGCCTCCACCCCAATAAAATGCAGGTGAATGGACCTTCATTTTTGCTGCTCACAGCATAGAAAATTTATATTTAAAAAAGTTAACAGCAACTTCCAATGATCAGTGTCCCTGTTATTGTCAAAAATCTGTAGAACACACTGTCAGCAGTTTTCAAAGTGACCTTTGATATTTTTTAAAGAAAGTACTTCCAATAAAAAGTGTTGACAGAGAAATGGGAAATCTTTAAATCTGGGCAAATAAAGTCTGCATTGCTGTATACCACTCAAGGTAAATGAGGAAATACAGTATGTGTTTTTAGGAATTAGATTGAACGAATCCTTTAAGCTCTTCCTGTAGAACCAATATTAATACTTAGTTCTTTAAATCAAACAAACTGTATCCTCCATCACACTGTAACCCAAATGGAAAACACAGACCTGACCATGTCCTTCTTTTTTCCCCCTAAAACCCCAACTCCTGACCATCCATGGTACTCTCCTCCTTCCAGCAGACACAGGAGCATTTCCGATATGTTACAGTGCAGAAGTGCTGTGATATTAGATTAGCCTACAGAGACTGAAGCCTCTCTGTCTATATGAATGGATGTACATCACATTCTCTGTGGATGATGTCTTCAGCACAGCTCAAGGCACAGGAAAGAGTGTGCGTGTGTGTGTGTTTGTGTATCACGGGTGTATTTTGATGTAATGTGATCAGTAATGAATTTTGTGTTGCATTAAAGGGGTGGAGGGGGTGGGGGTGGTGGGGGTCAAGATGCGATGCGATGGGGGGGGGGACAAGAACAAGAGGCGACTGACTACTCGTGTCCGGGAGTCTCCAACATCTAATCTAATGAAGAAACACACAGAGAAGGGGGTGGGGGTAAAAAAGGAGTGATGAGGAGAGAGAAAGAAAGAGAGCGAGAGAGGCTACAAATGAGGTTAAGTTAAGTCTTTACAGAGAGAAAGGGGGACTGGGCTGGATATGGCTGGGGACGGTAGGGGCGGGGTGATAGTCGATGCTAAATCCATTAGGGCCTTGTGACCCTCCACTACCCTACCCAACACCCTCCCCACCACACCCCATCCCTGTGGCTGCCTCGATGAAGCTACACCAACCCCCCACCCCCACCCCAGCTTCCCCCCCACACACATTTAAATCAAAGGAACTCTTGTTCACTTAGGATGGGGGGGTGGGGGGGGGGGGTGGAGGGAGCACTGCCGCTTCCTAAACGAGTTAACCATTTGGACTGTCAGAGCCAACGGCATGTCTGCTGCACACACACATGCAGACAGGAGGCCTCAAAGTAAAGCAAGGCATGAGCAGATATGGCAAAACCTAGCACACACACACACACACACACACACACACACACACTCAGACCCCCAGAACATCCTTCCAGTGCTGAGCTAATCCATCACTGGACCTTGACCTGGCAGCACTGCATGCGGGATAATGCCCGAATGAGGAAGTCAGGCTACCTAACAAGACACTTAGCTGCACTGCACATTTGTAATGGATTTTATTAAGAATTACAACAAAACGCAGCGACCCACATCACCAATGATGAGTGTTTTCTTTTGGTATGTGACAGCATCAGGACACACAAGATCTATCAGTATTACATGTAATATCACCATGCTCAGGTGTATAAAGCATCTTAAGAATGTTTGGCCCTGAAGTTGCACAAATTTATGTTAATTCACATCTTCAGGACATTTTTTTCAATCTTCAAGGTTTTTCATACTTGGACATTTTTAAAGCTCTGAAGAATTCCTTCAAGTCCAATTTCACAAACATCCTTAGCAACACAATATGCAAAAATAGAGGTACTCTCTAGTAGTTTTTAGGGATATACCTGACTGAAATTGTACAAAGAACTTTATGTGAAGACAGGTCAAAGTCAGTCAAAATCTTATTTTAATAACACTGTAAAATTATCAACAACATGTGTGGATTAAAATATAAATTAAAATACATGAGCAGAAGCAGATTTTGAGAAATCACCCAGTAACTGACCAAACATTATTAATCGGTTTGAAATGCTTCCACCAGTGCCTTTAAGTACAACCCTTGGGTGAAAAATAAGCAGAAAATAAGAAGAAGAAAAGAAGAATAGAAGCTTTATGCAAGTGGACATGTGTTCATGTAAAGTGTTTGTACATGTGAATGCATGCTTGTGTTTATTTGCGGAGTGTATTTCTGTGTTTCCCATTCTTTACTGACCTGTAGCAGATCCTACTATATCCCTGGAGGGTGACTCAGACATGGCGTCGGCCAGTCTCTCCCGGAGGCCTTCGTCGCTGGCATCCGCTGAGCCTACGTTGTGCCGCGGCACGCTGAAGCTCTCCGGCCAGCTACCATATACTTCCAGCAGAGTCACACCCCGCCCGTCAAACGGACCTGAATGAAAAAAACAAACACAGGGTTAAGACTCTTTTGATTACCAAATGGATTGAGGGATCTGGCAAATTAGCAGCTGAACCAACTGTCCAATAACGAACTGATTTGCAGGGCAGGGGTCGGGGTCGATCCAGGCATTTGGACTGAATCAAATGTATGATGCCTGCTCCATTTCTGACTATGATTGATAACTTGGGTGCAGGCAGTGTTAATAATTCCATGATGATGATGATGATGATGATGATGAATTGAGCGATGTGATCGGGCAACTCTGAGTTAAAACTGTGATTTTGTATGTATTGTTTTTAAGCAAACATTCCACAGGTTAAGCACACTGCTAGAGTGCTGCTGCTGGTAGTATGTTAATCACACCAGAGATGTAGAGAGGCTTATCAAATCCAACTCAAGGCTCCCTGCAACAACAGGTCCACAATGTCCTGTGTGCATACAGTATATCATACAAAACACTTCAGGACATCATACCACATGTTTTAGGAAACCATCAAAGCAAAGCTGTGGTACAGGCTTTATTTCTAAATAAATAATAAATCAGACTGTAAAAGTTCTCAGATCAGATGGTTTACAGGTGCAAAAAAACCTGTTTTCTGAAGTTACAGGTAGAAAGAAATGGAGAAATATCTGTTAAAATTCACAAAGCTATGATCACATGAGGAGCACACTAACTCTTACAATATAATCACGTATGTACTTATGTATGTGATGATCCGACTTCCAGTCACCTGTCCATTTCATTAAACATCTACTCCTGATATCCTATTGGTTCACTGAATGCTACTGCTGGCCAGTAGGTCGCACTTCAATGGTGCAACACGCCTACACCAGCTTACTCCAAATAGCTATATAATAATATTTGTTTTATAATGTGCTATTTTGGGCTGTGTGACTGTGCGTGACAATGACTTTTGTCAGGTTAACCCCTGACTAATAAATAAATATAAAATGTCCTTTGTCTATAAGTTAAATATTTAATTAGAACCACTTTTGTACAGTGGTAACAGAAATGACATGTCTTCTCAGTGACTCAGTTTACTTCTCTGAGTCAGGAGAAGCAGTGATATGTGCCAGTGGTATGTCACTGATGAAGAGGTCATTGGTATGATTAAAGGAATCTACACAACTCAACACAAAAAGTGTTGCTTGGAAAATACTTTGTCTATATCAGTGATTTAATCACAATGAGGATGTGTCACATATAAACCGGAAAATACAGACAAACAAAAATGTGCACAATGAGTGATAGATGATGGGAGTTACAGTAAGACATGCTCCAGATAAAGCAACAAAAACTCTTTGCTGTTGTTTAAGATTTCCCCTCATTACACACCAGATACACACCAGTTCTACTAGAGTGCAGCAGATCAGCTGGTTTAAAGTAAAACACGCACGCACGCACGCGCACACACAAATAACTTAAAAGCACAACATAGTCTTCATGCCTGTCAAACCAAATCCACACAGACCTACACTGCACCTTAATCTTTTCTTCTTTCTGCCTGCCGTAATTTCTGCAATCAGAGAGATCTTGCACTTTGGAGCCAGAGAGTCTGCAACCTGTTTTTGTGTGTATTTGTGTGTGACAAGCCAGTCAGGCAGGCAAGCAGGCATGCAGACACTAAAACAACTGGTTTATTCTATTAGTGTGTTCATTTGACTTGGTCACTGTGCCTGCCAGCACTAAGAGGTGATAAAGGCTGAAAGGGATGATTTAGCGGTGATGTTAAAATGCTCCTGTGCCTCAGCCCGCTAAAACACAACAGCACAAACACACATGACCTAGCGGCTCCAATTTCTGCTTATCACCATCATCAGTTCAATTCTGCCTATCAGCATATCTCTCCTTGTTATCACCCAGGAAATATGTGACAGACAGTGATGCACAGGAAATGATAGAGCCAAACACGCACACAAACTTCATAATATCATTTCGACTGTAACTGTTCAATGGCGGGAACATCTGTCCAGTGTTATTCAGAAATTGTAATATATTACTAGTTATTTATTACTTCATAAAAAAGTAATATTATTACTTTACTTATTACTGGGTGATTAAAGTAACTAGTTACTCGTTACATTACAAGTTACTTTCCAGTGTTTCCTACAGGATGACAGCGGGGAGGGGGGGTATTTTAACGTTGAACAGGTTTGTGCAGCGGTGTTCACGAGAGAGGGAAAGATGGAGCAAGCGAGGAGGTGCTGCACGAATATATGCTATATGATTTTAAATACGCCTAGTAAAAAAATTTGAAAATCAACGTGTGGCGGTCAGCATTGATAATTATCCAAATAATAGGCTAATTATGGGAAACACTGCTTTCAATACCACCCCCTTCACCCCCAAACAAAGCAGTCTCCCCCGATATTTAACTAATAGGCTATCATATTCAACAGCAGCAGCAAGGAGTGTGGTTTTTACAAAGCATATAGCCTAGGCCTAACGTTTGTTAACACCACCGGCTGAAATAAAAAAATATAGAAAGTAAATCCCGACTTTTGAACTACTGTTGCACATGTAGCCTAGAGCAGCTTAGAGCAGTTACAAAACGTTAACGCCTCTCTCTCCCGACAAGCAGCTGCCGGAGTTTCTTTCTGTAAGTGTCACATTGCTGTGCTGCTTCTGCAGATGCTTCAATAAATCAGATGTAGAAATGTTTGTGGTTGAAAGCTTTTTGCTGGTCACACAGAGTTTACACTAGATGACAATGTTCTTTGCATTTCGTCAGTTGTTTCCCTATCTGAATAGATGATATAATTTTTCGACCCCTGTCATGACAACTTACCAAACATTATATTAATTGCCTTACTCGTTAAGTTATCAAGTGCATGGCCTTCAAACCTAACTGATAAAATGATAAATGCAAAGAGTACACATGCTGTGTTCCTGCTTTGGGAAGACACTTTTTGTCTCTTTCTTTCTAACTCTCATTAAAGTGGACACACACACACACACACACACACACACACAGGAATGTTTCTCTAGTGGTCTTGTGGGTATCAGCAAAACCCTAGTGAGAAGGCAGACAGGATGACATAAAAGGAAAAAGTGAAGACAAGGACTGAAGAGATCCTCTTTTCCTGGAAAGATCAGCCTCCATGTGCACAATCTGTGTCTGTCTCTGTATGCATGCTGGAAGTACAGAAAACATGGAGGAACATAGAGCATGAGTAGTAGAGGCAAGTAAACAAGACAAATAATGTTGAAGCAGTCAGTTTCTAGTGCGACTAAAACGTAAAATTAATTAAATACATTTTTTTTTTGACAATGTTGCAAAATGCTAGATTAAATTTAACGCAACGAAGCAAATGATTGAAATTCATATCACGTCATTGCAACAAATGCCATGAAGGGCTGAGCATAATGTGCTTAAATTCTACAAGTCTACCCACACCATAAGACTTATGTGGACAGCTTTGAAAATGACGATTTAAAGAAATTCTAAAATACATAACCAAGTAAATCCATAGCAGGTTGTAGCTTTATGAGCAACGAGCCACACCTCACTCAGTAATACTAAGCTGTTTGGTCCACATGGGCATTTACAGCTGCAAAATTCAATTAGGCCATTACAAAGGCACACATACACACACGTCCCAGTTATCCAGCATTAAATAAACCACCGTGCAGGACATAATAACATCATATCACCTCTAAGGCAAAACACTGGGTTATTGTTTGATACACAAGCACACATAGACAGTCAGACAGACACATCTAACAGGCTCTCATGGCCGGCTTTGATGGAAGCCCTGCTGGCACTAAAGGGGAATCCTTTGAAAAATCAATCCAACACACACACAGGCTGCTTCTGAAGTGCAGCAAAGTTATCAAGAAGCTAAGCCACTGAGTGTATGAGAGTGTGTGTTTGTATGCTTTAGGAGGTTGGCCAGTGTTATCACAGTAGGGAGCAGGGAGGCCCGTGCAGCCTCTCACCCCAGCATTAGCACCTGTCACTGGCCTGCAGAGGAGCTGAGATTGTCCAGGCCTCAAGGTGTACACACACACACACACACACACACACACAGTATTCTGCTGATAGCCAGTGAGCCAGGCAGATCAAAGGTTTTGACAGCGGTGGCTTTTCTGGATGATAAGAGCTTGGCAGAAGGTTAGGAAGAGCTTTAGGTTTATCAGACCAGGCTTTGACCAATATGGGTATTTGAATGCCGATGCTGATAGCTTTAGACTGAAACTACCAATCGCTGAGAGCTGCTATTGATGTTCAGTAGTTTCAAATCTGTTTGAAAGTGTCAAAAGATTTCAATGTCTTTCCTGGAGAAGAAAAAGACATTGTTGTGTGGAAATGCCAATGTTATGTGTTTCAAGGCCGTTTTTGATTGTAGTTAAATATGCTGCCTTTATTAATTCTCACAAAAAGCTTTCCTTACATCAAACAGACAGAATCAAAAGAGTAAATAAAGGACACATTTTTACATTATTTCTGTCAGTTATAACAGGGTATTCTAAAGAATAGGTTCAAGTTCATCTCACGTATGTTTGTATGTGGAGTTATTTATTGGTCACCACAATAATTTCTCCTGTCTATGCTGGCTGGGAAGATACTCCTTCATAAAATCCTAAATGAAATCCTAACCTAGGTAAAACTATTGCAGTCTAATACAACAGTCCTTCATGAAGGATAATGTTAAATTTTTATTGAAATGTTATACTGACACTTATACTTAGGTGCACTTGATTTAAGTAACAGCAGCTGCAGACGCCTTATATTAGCTGAAGGTGAATGTAGTTTTGCACAGAATGAGGACTCCTCCATCACTGACACTGAAAGCACATTAGGAAGGAGTGTCCTCAAAGCCAGTATAGAGAGGAGGAATGATCACAGCGACCAATAACTCTTTCAATATACATATGGGAATGTTTTAAGACCTACTTGAACAAAGGTGAACCTATCCGACAAGAATAACTAATACATAATAAGTAATGTTACGTAATACATGTTTGGTATGACCTACACTCAATACTG